CTAAAAAAAAAAAAAAGAAAAGAAAATACAGTAAAAACAAAATAAAATGCAATATGAACTAAGCCAGAAAAAAAAAATCATTAAAAAATCTGAAAGCATAGAACTTGTAATAATGTTTCTGATCACAATATTAAAAAATAAAAAACTGGCTTATCGCCTGTAGCTCAGCAGCTAGGGCACCAGTCACATACACAGGAGCTGGAGGGTTCGAACCTAGCCTGGGCCTGCCAAACGACAATGACAACTGCAATCAAAAAAACAGCCAGGCTTTGTGGTGGGTGCCTGTAGTCCCAGCTACTTGAGGTAATTAGCAATTACCACAAAAAATAATTATTTCCTACCTCTGTCCATTAAAATGACCTACAAACACTTAACAGCAGTGAGTACCCATTAACACCCAGTTTTGGTCCCTGAACATCATATACCACAAAAAAGAACTGGGGTTCCTTGGCAAATGGGTGCTTCCAGGTATGTAATAAAAAATGACACTGGAAAACCACGCTATATCAAAAAGCAAAGATGCCAAGACTACTATAATAGGGTAGTGTCTCAACTTGAAGAGATTTATACTGGCCTTAAATGAGGATCCATAAGAATAATGCAATTAACACATTATTAAATATATTAAAATTCATGAGTTCATAAATATATTTTAAAAATTCACTCATTACTTTGGAAGATACTGGGTAAATGCCATACAACTCACTATTCTGTAAATCAATAAAGAATCAAGTACTCAATTTTCTTTTGTAAGTTGTACCTCAAGGAAATTATGTAATTGAGAAAAAGTTTCTCTTTATGTTAGTATTCTGGTTAATGAATGAAGGAGAAATGATACAAATAGATGATCATCATCATTGCAAACTCCTAAAGAAGCAAATGACTGGGTGGCACCTGTGGCTCAAGAAGTAGGGCACTGGCCCCATATACCGGAGGTGGCAGGTTCAAACCCAGCCCCAGCCAAAAACTGTAACAACAACAAGAAGCAAATGATCTAGGCAATGATCATCAGTGGCTGCTAACATCACAAAATGAGACAGCCAGACTCCATATGCCTCCTGGTGTCTAAACAATACTATTTATTAGTATTCTCGCCACAGTCCTACCTGAAATAGATCAATATTCTGTATCTAACTTTCAGTTTAAAGTATTACAAAGCATATAGCAACATGTTAAAATGACATCAGCAATGAAATCAACGATTCAGAATGGGAGATACAGGACCAAACACCCTGTTTCTCCAATCACAAACAACAGTAACAACAAATTACAAAGAACAAAAAAGTAGGGAGGAATGTATAGGTTAAAAAAATTCAAGCACAGGGCAGGGCCTGTGGCTCAAAGGAGGGGGCACTGACCCCATATGCCGGAGGTGGAGGGTTCAAACCCAGTCCCGGCCAAAAACTGCCAAAAAAAAAAAAAAAATTCGAGGAACATATCAATGAAATTCAACTTTCAGACTTTGGATTCTAATTCATGTAAAATAAATGCAACAACAACAACAAACTATGCAATTATTATAGGAAGAATATGAGCACTGATTAGATATTTTACAAGAATAAATGTCAACTTTTCTCTATCTTTAATAATGATATTGTGGTTGTGTTTAAAAAAAGTCTTTACCTTTAAGAGATACTAAAATATTTACAAATTATTGATGTGATATCTGAGATTTGTCTCAAAATAATTCAATATCAGATTACTGGGGAGGGCAGGTGGGAACATAAAATGAAACAGGACCGGCTATCAGATTAAGATTTTTGAAGCTGGATGATTAAGTACATAGGAATCATATTCTTAATCCAAAAATCTCAAATACTCCAAAATCTGAAACCTTTTGAACACCGACATGACACTCAACAAGAAACGCTCACTGGAGCATTTTAGATTTGGGAGACTCAACTAGTAATTATACATATGTATAGTGCAGATATTTCAAAATCCAAAATCTGAAATGCTTCTAGTCCCAATCATTTTGGATCAGGAACAGTCAACCTGTATTCTACTTTGGTATATGTCTGAATTTTTCCAAAATAAAGTGTTAAAGATAACCAATAAAACAATATTTTTAAAAAGGAATTTTAGAAATAGTTAAATTACAAAATTCGTCTTTTTGCACTTTTTCTTAAGAATGATAAACTTTCTAAATGAAAAGCTTATCACTCAGTTAAAATCTTCATTCCTCCATGACATTTTGCTCATTTTTGTTAAGCTTCTATGGCCTGAACTTTTGGAAGTTTTCTCTGTAATTGCAGCATTACTGACACAGCTAGCCCAGGTATTGGCAAACTTCAGGCCTGCAACCTGTTTCTGTACAGAACTAAAGCTAAGAATGGTTAATGTCATTTGAAAGGGTTATAAAAAGTAAAGACTATGCAATAGAGATCAAGTGTGGCCCAAGTGCAGCCTGAAATATTTACTACTATTCAGTTATGTTTGGAAGTCATTTCTCATACTTAAGAAGATTCTGCCCACCAGTGTGCACAGCGGATATTCAATTAGGGAGTAACAGTCATGACCACCAGAAACCTAGCATCTCAAAACTAAATTTATACTTGAGGGACCTGAAAGACCAGAAAAGATTAATGTAAAAATTACAATTTTTTTAACCACACTGTAACTTTTATACGTATGCTGAAGCTCACATAAGTTGTGTGCATTATTTTAGTGCATATGAGCTTTGATTTACATTTAAGTCCAAAAGTAATAAAGGAAACACAGAAAAAGAACAAATTAACAACAAAAAAAACCCTATGCTATAAATTTTCCTTAATTTTCACTGATATCTCGAAATAAATTCAGCTAAGAGCCATTGTTGATAAGGACATGGCCAATGGCCTCTGCCTTGGAAACAAGTAGTTTAAACCTGTCATACACAGAAGATCACAAACTTAAAAGAATTTTAGAATTGAAAGGTTTTTCAGAAATAACCTAGTCGCCTTGGTTTATAGATATAGAAAGGAGGTGATGAGATTTTTATACAGCAAGTAAGCTGTTTAAATAGGCCTAGAAAAACAATTTAAGGAAGCCAAGAATGAAGTTTTCCAATACTTCATATAAAGAAGATACTTTCTTGGTTACACTAAGATCTATTTTAAGCTTGGTCCCTGAGAGATAAGATTATGCAATACTCCTCAGCTAAGAACCAACAGGAGATCTTAATTTCTGTTTCCTTAGTCACAAAAACTGACCCTGACCTTTCTCCACAAAATTATAGCTAATCATCAAGCCCCAGAGGACCCAAACTATGTTCCCATCTGTGATTAAGGTTAAAATAGAACCCCTCCATCCAATTTTTCCTGAGAAATCTGGCAACCTCCATGCATTACCTGTTTTGATTAGGTAGTATGGATGTTGCTGCTAAAAGAAACAAAATAGAAAAATATGGGACAAATGTGTAAAGCCAGGCGTCTTTTGAGAACAAACTGAATTTCGTTACCATTTGAAAATTGGCTGAGGCAAGAGAATCGCCTAAGCCCAAGAGTTGGAAGTTGCTGTGAGCTGTGACGCCATGGCATTCTACCCGAGGCGACAGCTTGAGACTCTGTCTCAAAAAAAAAAAAGAAAAGAAAAGAAAAGAAAATTACTCTTTTATCCACTATTCTACTCAACCTCTGCCTTTTAGATTCACAAAGACTGCCAAATCTCTAGTCCTAACCTTCCCAAGTACCTAAGTTTTAATTTGTAATGAGATTCTATTTTGGCAATTGAGCTTCTATTTCTACCAACAATGTATGAGGAATTCCTAGGTTTTAATAGTGATGATCCTCTTTGACTTGATTAGTCGCACTTTGAGGAAGATCTTTATGAATTAGACATGTTTTTAAATTAAGTTTTCAGTTACTTTAGCTATAAAATTGAACAAATATCCACATTACCTCCTCACAGGGATGCCTGTGAGAGTGAAGAATTACAATGTAACACAAATGTAGACATTACCCTGAAAGAGAAAGAACTCTAACCAATTCTGGTTTCACCAAAGTCATTTTTTTTTTTTAATGAAAGCAGTATGATCAAAAACGTATCACCTGGCTCGGCGCCTGTGGCTCAAGCGGCTAAGGCGCCAGCCACATACACCTAAGGTGGCGGGTTTGAATCCAGCCCAGACCTGCCAAACAACAATAATGGCTGCAACCAAAAAATAGCCAGGCGTTGTGGCGGGCGCCTGTAGTCCCAGCTACTTGGGAGGCTGAGGCAGGAAACTCACTTGAGCCCAGGAGTTGGAGGTTGCTGTGAGCAGTGAAGCCACGGCACTCTACCCAGGGGGACAGCTTGAGGCTCTGTCTCAAAAAAAAAAAAAAAAAGTATCACCTTACACTTAAAAATAATTAAGATGGTAAATTTTATTTGGGAGATGTTTTACCTATAATTAAAAAAAATTAGAAAAATTACTTTTCATTGACAGATGAGTAGATAAACATAATGTGGTATATACATATGATGAAATATTACTGAGCCTTAAAAATGAAAGACATGCTACAAGATGGATGAATCTTGAAGACATTAAGCAGGTGAAGTAAGCCAGATACGAAAGGCCAAACATCATATGATTTCACTTGTATCAGGAACCAATAGCATATAAGTTCATAAAGAAGGTAGAATGGTAGTAATCTAGGATTAGGGGAGGGGAAAATGAAGAGCTGTTGTTTAATAGGCACAGAGTTTCAGTGTGGGATGATGAAAACGTTCTAGAAGTGGACAGTTGTGATGGCTGCACAACAATGTGAAGGTATTTAATGCCCCTGCACTGTACACTTCAAAATGGTTACAACAGGGAATTTCAAGTGATATACATTTTACCACAAGAAGGAAAAATATTACCTTGCAGGTCTCCAATCATCTCAGAATCATGACCCCTGTCTCTTCGTTCAGCTTCCAATACAGCCTGTAGCTGGTAATAATCCTTGTCCGTTTGTGATTTTGAAGTCTCTAAAATTCTATTTCTCTCTTGCAATTCTCTGTTCAGGGACTCTAGCTGACTAATTGACTTGCTCATCTCTGTGTGACTCTTCCTTAATCTTACTGCTGTGTCCGATTCTGTCCTAAGTAAGTCATTGGCTTCTTCTAGCTATTTAAAAAAGAAAGCAAGACATAGGTTTCTGACCAAGATACAACCAAGCTTGTTTTCATTAAATATAGAAACCTCATTAAATAAAGAAACCTCATTTGAAAAACTTACCTGTTTTTGTAATTGTGCCAGCTTCTCATTAGCAAGCTGTGAATTCTGACTTACTTTCTTTAAGTCTTCCAATTGATCCTTTAATGTAGAAACTAGAAAATGAAGGAACAATATGTAGATATTATAAAGTTTTCTTACAGGATATAAAAACTCCTTTTAAAAAATGACATTCAGTGATATGTATTAGGTCATAATAGTCAGCCACATTAGGTCCACTGTCACAACCAAATTCCAAGCTTAGAAGTATTTACATTTTAAATTCATCAAAAAGCAGAGCATAATTTTATAATACAGACTGCAAAAATGAATTTGTTGCCATTCATCTCTCATTCTAAATTCTTTTATTCTCTTTATATAAGATAAATCTATTAGTGTTATATTGTAAAGCTAGTTTTAATATTATGTATTTTTGAATAGTAGAATTACTTGCAGAGTTCAATACTTTAATAATAATACATAATCTGAAAGGTTCTAAATTGGAGGTCGGATAGAATGAGTCTTTCTCCCTGTATTGTGTCTTCTGGTCCTTCTGTCTCCCCCTTGACTCTGCTTCTCATATAGGTATTTAAGGTAAGTATACATACACAAATCACTTCTATTTTAAACACAAATGATCTATACTTTGTTTCTATCATTTAAAGGCACTTTTAGAGATTCTTTTATAGTGTATGTAAAGAAAAGTTTTTTCTTTTATAAGCTGCATAGTGTTCTATTATTCAGAAGGACCAAAATTTATATTATTATGTTTGCCTTTATACTTTTTGCTATTTTTAACAAGGCTATAATGAACAGCTTTCTGTATACATCAGTTTGCATGTATACAAGTATATAAGTAAAATAAATTCCAGTAAGTTAAATTACTGAATCAAAGGGAGCAACAGAAAGCTATTTTAAATGTATTTGTAACACTGGCATTAAAACACATGAAACTCTAGCTTAGTAGTTCTCAAATGTAGCTCTCTGTTAGAAGTGCCTAGGAGTCTTATGAAAAACACTGATGCCCAGGCCACCCATCTAGACCAATTAAATTAGAATTTCTAGAGTATATGCATGTGTATTCTTTAAAGTTTCCCAGGAGATTCCAATATGTAAACAATGATGATGAACTATTCTAGCTAAACACTACTTACTATTGACTTTAATATGTTATAAATTTAACTTGGGGTCAGGTTATTTCACTTATGAAGTGTTTTAGAATTGTGGCTCCCCCCTCCCGCCCCCCGCTGGAGGCTGGGTTTGAACCCGTCACCTCTGGCATATGGAGCCGGCACCCTACCCCTCTGAGCCACAGGCACCGCCCAGAATTGTGGCTTTATATATATATCATGGGCAATAAATGTGAGTCAACCTCATGACAAAGAACTCAAGAATAGTGTTAGAAATTACAGCATTTTTAAAAAGAAGTAATAATTTACCTTCATTTTCTACATTTCTCCTCTTTTCATTTTCCTGCTCAGCTTTTCTTTGGTATTCATTAATTCTATGCTGTAGCACCATTTTTTCTTTCTCTATTTGGGACACTGTAGATTCTAGATTTCTTCTTTGACTTCCCTGAAATTATAATGTTAAAAGTTACCACGGCAATTAGAACTCTTGTCACTTACTCAAGAAGAGTACTTTGTTTTTAGAAACAAAGAACAACAAAAAGATACCCAGACAAAAATTTAAGATAGATTTTTTTTTTTTATTTACATAACTAGACTGTAACTTCTAATAGTGACAACTTTTTTTTTTAAGAGGCAGGTTCTTACTTCATTGCCCAGGATGGAGTGCAATGGCACTATCATAGCCCACTGCAGCCTCCAATAACTGCACTCAACTGATATCTCCACTTTAGCCTCCTGAGAATAATACCCAACTATGCCCAGGTAATTGTTTAAATTTTTTTGTAGAGACAGAGTCTCACTATGTTGCATATTGCCCAGGCTAGTCTTGAATTCCGGGCCTCAAGTGATCCTCTGGCTTTGGCCTCCCAAAGTGCTGGGATTATAAATGTCAGCCACTATGCCTGACCAACAACTTTTTAAAAATAGAAGTAGCTTGGCTCTCACAAGACAGTGAAAAACTTATTTGAACTAGATATGTAAAATTTTCAAAGCCTTTTAAATCTATGAATTTAAAATACAACCCAATGAATCTTACCATCTTAAATTGAAAGTTGTTTTCTTAGTTTAAGACAAGCAGATGGTATTATACTACAAATATAATGGTTTATTAACAATTCTAAATTGAAGGTATAAAACATGAAAGAAGATCAATAATTACGTGATTCAAACGCATATGCTACCAAATGGTACAGAATGTGCAGTGAATTTACCAGTTCCTCTATGTCTCCCTTAATCCTCTCCCTGTCTCAAAAACTTGCTAATATTTTCTAAGATGTTCTATACATCTAACTACTCATACATATTTAAAAGTAATCAAGGAAATATTTATTTTAGAAAAAGAAACCACAGGGGAGAGAAGGATTAAAATACCCAAATTTTTACAACTTAAAAAAAAAAATTATCTTCTGCCTCTGAGTTACCCCTACCAGCATATCTTGTTTCTGATGCTTCATTTTTATCTTTAAGACTCTAAGTATTTGGAAAACCTGTTTTATGGTATGTGTTTTCCTGGGCTTTCCCATCTTTAAACAAAAACTTTGCATATATCATTCAAGATTATTTCCAATTCTAAGATTTTCTTCTTTTAGGTAATTAAAAAAATTAAAAATAAAAAAATTGTCAAATAATTACACATTCATGTAAGTTGCAAAGACAGAACAAAGAGGTCCCGTGTACCTTCCACTGTTTCCCCCAATAGTTACATTATTGATAATAATACACTAACAAAATCAACAAACTGACATGTATAGTTCTGTCATTTTATCACATGTGTAGATTCAAGCAAGCACCATAATCAAGATGAAGAACTGTTTCATCACCACAATGGTCTCCTTCCAGTCACCACTTATAGCCATACTCATCCCTGTGCTTTCACCCATACTCTAGGCAACCAGTGGTCCTTCCTGTCTAAAATTTGTCTTTTTCAGAAGGTTATCTAAATGGAACCATACAATATGTCTTATTTTATTTTTATTTTTGTTCTGGATCTAGGCACTCATATATGACTTTTTCTTTTTTTAAACGAAAAAGGCTAATTTTCTTTCTTTCTCTCTTTTTTCTTTTTGGTGGAGACAAAAGTATTGCTTCTCGCCATTCTACTCAGACTGGTTCTAACTACTAGTCTCAAGTGATACCCTGGGCCTTGGCCTTCCAAAGTGCTGGGATTATAGAAGTAAGCTGCCATGCATGGGCCAATATGACTTGTTGAAATTGGCCTCTTTCATTCAACAGAAAGCCCTTAAAATCCATCTGAACTGCTGTATGTATCTATAGCTCATTCCTTCTTGTGGTTGAGTAGTAAGTACTCCATGGTACAAATACACCAAAGTTTATTCAACCATTCACCTGCTGTAGGACATTTGGGTTCCTTTTAGGTTTTGCCTATTACAAATGAAGCTGTTATGAATGGCAGTGTACAGGTGTTTGC